GCTTAGACATCCTGTCAACTCAAAACTATTTGGTTACACCATTGCTTCTTGACCAAAGCAGACCTCTGAGCAAGAACAGACCTCGTCGATTTTCCTTGATTGCTGAATACCATCTTGCTAACCTGGCTGAAAGTAGTGTAACAGTCGGTGCTGATGAACTTGTCCAGCTCTTCAGTCTGGATCCAGGACTCTTAGTAGGGATTTGGTAGGAGAAAAATGAAATTGCTTTTGTTTTGGTGAGTCTTCATTATAATCAACTCCTTGAGAGAAGCATTTTGGGTTTTGCCACTGTTCAATATGTCCCTCCAGCTAATAAACCTTTACTGGATGATATTGTCCTGGAATATGGCCTGCATGGTTAGAGTTTGCATCTGGATCTGCATGGCAGAAGCTGCAGATACCTGTGTGGAACTTTCAAGGGCCTCTTCTGCAGGAGAGGTGATATTGAAAATGGGTACCTGAAGCTCACWGTTGTAGGCTTAAAGGATATTGGGAAGCACCTGCCTATTATTGGGACACTTGGCATATGCTGGGAAACAGATGTGTTTAAAGGCGGTGTGAAGGACTGCTTCATGATGGATTTGACTCTGTTGRATGAAAGTGGAAAGCCCTCCTGGTGTTTTAGTACTCCAGTSCACATGGAACTGTCTTCCAAGGCATCTGGCCTTTTTGACTACATGGGTCATATCTATACTGCAGACTATGCAGATTCAGAGGGCAAAGTCTGTGTTGAGTTTGTAAGGTTGGAAGAAACCAGGGAATATRTCATAGTCAGATTGGTGCTTTATGTGAGCACCATAAAGGTAAATAGCTGGTATGGAACAAATTACTGATTTCATTAGTCGCCAAACTCMATTTATATTAAGCTTTGTTGAGSTCAAGCTCTTTTAAATACCTGAAGTYCTATTGGGTGTAGTTGTTGTCGAGTTTTGGCGAAGTTAAATTTGTGTTCTAATGGGTTTAAGCTCTGTCAGACAGTTTCTGTTGGGTGTTGTCAGGTTTGGATG